TGAGTGAGAGAGAGAGAGAGAGAGAGAGAGAGAGAGAGAGTTTATACAGAAGAAATTCATCTGGGAACAGTAAAAGGTGCTGATCTCTGGAACCAAGGTAAGGTTACTCAAGTATTTAGTCTAAGTATTTTGGTCATTGGATATTCTTAGTCTCTTATAAGCGCTCAGAACATGGGCAGCATTTCAGAAGATGCTCTTTGATGAATTCACGTAACTTTAGCTTATGAGAAACTATTTATTAAAATCCCCGGATGTTTTTGAAAAAAAGTGCTTTTAACTAAACTTGGCTGCTCAGTTTTGTAACAATTTATTTTTTAATAATATATCTCTTTAGCTATTAATTTGCATTTCTAATCGCCGTTTTATTTTTTTTTAGATAAACACAATAAAATTGTGTAGCCTAATATTTGCGCGCATTTCATGTTATATGTCATAACAGAATTTATTGATTCGCATTGTTTTGGAGCGTGTCCCTTTCGGATGACCTACTTAAGCGTATACATTTAAAAAAAAAAAAGATTTCCATTGCGAAAAGTAAAGTTTATAATCTACTGCGTGAGGAAGATGTGCACTTGGAGAAAGTGGCAGGTTCTCAAAGCACTGCATTACAACTTCGCTACATTATAACAGAAATTATAATATATCTCTTTAGCTATTAATTTGCATTTCTAATCGCCGTTTTATTTTTTTAGATAAACACAATAAAATTGTGTAGCCTAATATTTGCGCGCATTTCATGTTATATGTCATAACAGAATTTATTGATTCGCATTGTTTTGGAGCGTGTCCCTTTCGGATGACCTACTTAAGCGTATACATTTAAAAAAAAAAAAAGATTTCCATTGCGAAAAGTAAAGTTTATAATCTACTGCGTGAGGAAGATGTGCACTTGGAGAAAGTGGCAGGTTCTCAAAGCACTGCATTACAACTTCGCTACATTATAACAGAAATAATACACTTGGGGTGGACAATTTGGCAGACTTTTGTCGTAAAATACAGTGACGGTGTTTTAATCATAATGGTGTCTGTTTACTTTACGGTTCCTAACTGTATACATAATATAATGTTAATTGAACAACCTAGTAGGGCTTTCTTTGTTTCTATAAAATGTGCTGATAAAAACACAGCTGTACAATATAATACCACATGGTGACTTTAAAAGTAATCATAACCTATGCTATATCTCAAGCAACTGTGACAAGTGAAAACTTGTGAAAACATGGCACATTATTACTCACACAACAAACATCCTCAGAGCAGCACATGATATAAAAAAAATGCAATAAACCGTAAATAACACACTTTTTATTGTAAAAGCCATCATTTTGACAAAATAGTATACATAATGCCTTGCTAAATGTACATTTTCTTCATGAACTATAATGCAATTGCATGCATTGTCTTTTAAAATATATTTTACTGTGTGGAATACAGTATATGTTGCTTATTTCCATTTTTTCCCCCTATTTCCTAGACAACCCATCAGAAATGAAACAGCTGTTCTCATCACACGTGAATCTTAGACTGGACTCTGACACCAGGCATCTTCTTGATTGTGCAAGATCCACTGAATGCACCTCATGTCTCTGAACTGAAGTGACATTCACCCCTGGACTTGAAGTCAGTTGCCACGTATAGAAATTGAACATTGAATTTTGAAGATGTCGCAACAGATCTAAAAATTACACCTCAGTGGGAACACATTTTACATTAACTCGCACACAGTTTTCCACCGAGGACCAGACTTTGCCCTTTTGGCACCATGATGGATATTAGAAATTTCACAATCTAAATAATTTCCATGCTGATACACCTAATAGCTGTGGCGCCCCTTGCCTTTCTCTCTTGCCCATGGACCCATCCAGTGCCATGCTCTCACAGGCGCTCCTGCTCTTACAGTGCATTATTCTGACTCTCGGCCAGTACGATATCTGTAAGTCGCTGGTCAGCACAGACGATGGACCAACATGGGAATTTTACGCTTGCCAGCCCAAACCCGTGTCCATGAAGGAGTACATGCAGATTAGAGTGGAGCCTCCCGATATCACATGTGGGAATCCACCGGAGAGGTTCTGCACTCTGGTGAGTTTGGACTGGATCGCTTTTGGCTCTGCTGCTTTGTCAGTTACGTCTGTTCCACTGGAACAGCTTGCGTTTCCAAGCAAATATACTTTGCAATCATGTTTATTTATGATATTGCAAGTTTGATGGATTTTCGGTGGATCTTCAGAAGCTTAATAGCAAATTCAACACATATATGTGCCATTAGTATTATTATTATTGTGAATTTTAGTATGTGTATCAAAATCTTTTAAAGGGACAGAAACAAATCCAAAAATGTAAATTAAATTTATTCACCCTCATAAACCTCAAACCTGAATGACTTTCTTTCTTCTGTGGAACACAAAAGAAGATATTTGGAAGAACGTTGGTAACCAAACAGTTTTGGTTCCCATTCGCTTCTTTTGTATGGCTAAAAAATTTATATCTCTGTGACTTTCTTTTTTCTGTTGAACACAGTTTTTAAAAATGTTGGTAACCAAACAGTTTCGGTTCCCATTCACTTCCATTATACTTTTGGACTTTATAAAGGAAGCAAATGGGAACCGAAACAATTTGGTTACCAACATTCTTCAAACTATCTTCTTTATGTTTTCCACAAAAGAAAAATTCATACAGGTTTGAACGACATTAAGATAATTATGATGACAACATTTCATATTTGGGCGTACTGTCCCTTTAAAAAGGCAAATAATCAGATAAAAATAGTTAGACTCTGTTTATTTTTGGAATGAGAGGATAAAAGAAAGCAAAGAGATCTAATGTTACAGTAAGATCTGACACAAGAATGCCAAAAAGTCTCCAAGTAACCCTAATATGTCTAAACACAGATTATACAGTAATCTGCAACGTGGCCATTAACAATGTGTTTGCTCAGAGAGACAACAAAGCCCGAGTCGATGTGTAAATTTGCCCACACAGCTGTTATTCAGTGTAGTTTCCCTCCGCGCACGAGACAGCAGGATTATCTGTGTAAATCAACTCAGGTTTAGCACCGAGAGTGAGGGCGCAAACAATCTGCGTCTTTCCTGGGCACATCTGGTGACCGATCGACACCACATTCGGGATACTCTGCGACATACTTGGGAAGAGCGATTAGGGCAATCACAAGCATGAAAATATTATCCATTCTATACCATCGGTGTTTGGAGGGGTGAATTTTAGACCCTCTGTCTGTCAGGTTGGTGAGGTATGAGTGTAGCCAAAGTTAATCTCCATCAGAGATGCTTTGGGAATTTAGCCAGAAGCTTGATTGCACAATAATCGGATAGAGGATTTGTCCAGCTGGACTGACACTACGCATGAGGCCCCGAGACAGAGCGCTGCCTCTGACGGGGTGCTAATTCACACATTTAGACTGTGTGGATAAAAGACAGGATGCCGTGGAGGGGGGTGGACCAGACATTGCTCATTCAATGACATCATTCTCTCAGCATATACCGAGCGGCTCACACAGTGACAACGGGTGGGTAGCTGGACTGTGAAGAGAGTCTGAATTCAGTCACCAAAATCGTTTTTCAAGAGGCAAATGTACTACAAAGGCATAGTGATTCAAGAGTGATGGATTTAGTTGTCAAGAGTAAAAAGTAGGAGTTCATGGTTTTCAAATTCAGTGTGAAAGAAAGGATACAGTTCTTTGTAGCTTGCAGTTCTTTTGCTGTAACCTGTAGGAAGGCTGTAAAAATGTCACAGACATATAACCGATATGGGTCGCCCTGTTACCGGGGTCTTTTTAGCTTGAGATATACCTGTCCCTCGATCTTTCAGATTGGGTGTAACATAAGGCCATTGCTGGGGGTTTCTATACAATTTAGGGCTGAAATCTGAACAGATTTTAAACACTACACTGTAAAAAATGATTGTGATTTTAACAGTAAAAGACTGTAAAAATGCTACAGTAAAAACCTGTTAACTGGTTAACAGTAAGTCTCCATACTATATTCAGTGAATAAATGTGATTACATTTAATGTAATTTTACAGTAAAATACAGTTAAAAATACAGTTTTTGGAAGTTAAAAAATAATTGTATAATTTACAGTGACAAACCGTAAATTGACACTCACAGAATTCCCTGCATGACACTTCATATTTGATGGTTTTTTTTGGTTGTTGTTGAAATAACAAATGTTTCTTCGTTTTTTCTTACCAGTTGTGTACATTAGGGTTTAATTCTACATCTAATGTTGTTAATTCAATGTTTATTGCATTATTTCAGTATCATGAGTGTCACCATGATGGGATTTAGTGTTTGTGTGAATGACACTGTGCACATTCTATATGTAAGTATTGCCCTCCTCAGCTCGTAGAAAAGCTGTTTGTGATGAGCTTTGGTTCATCATGTGACTTTCTCATCACCACCAGTTTTTGGTGGTTATCAGGGCATCACAATGGTTCAAAACAGATATTAGTACTTCAATATGTTGGTTTATCAACATTACATCAGTTAATGAAATACGGTATTTTATTGTGAATTTAAGTTAAGTCTGTAAAACCTAAAATGTTGCTACCTTATTTTTTATGGTGAAGTTCTGACAACCACAGCTGCTGGTATTTTACCGTAAATGTCACAAAAAAATTTTTTACAGTGTAGGCATCATATAAACCCACTTTGTAAATAGTTACAGAGGAAAAACTAGGTATAAACGAATAAGGATCACACACTACCAGACTTTCAAGTCCTTGAGATGAAAACAATATAGGCATCTTTACACAGCTAAGCTAAGGCTGCTCTGTGCCAGCTCAAAATCCAGTGGAAAGATACAATGCCACATTAAAGCCAGACTTAGGGTGTATTCACACCTGTCTTGTTTGGTTCGATTGAATCGAACTCAAGTTCGTTTCTCCCTTGGTGTGGATCTTTTGGGCAGGTGTGAATACAGCAATCGCACTCAGGTGCGGACCAAACAACCGTACCGAGACCCAGCTGAAGAGGTGGTCTCGGTCCGCTTCCAAACGAACTCTGATACGGTTGAATGGATGAACCAAATTAATAGATGACCTTAGCACACGTGTGGTTTTGTTTACAATTTCTGGTTGACTTGGAAAAAGGGCAGTGTAAAAACGAACCACACCAAAAAAAAAAAAAAAAAATTCAACATTGTATTTTGTCCGAACCAAAGCAAGTGAACTAGGGGATTTTGCTGGTGTGAATACACCCTTAATTAAACCTACTCTGATCCATCCCGGTCCCTAGTATCAAAGCATACAGTTGTAATTCCTGTAAAAATACATTTGTCACCTTTGAGCAGCATTAAACAGATACTTAAATGCCACTTCAGAATAATTTCTGTGCCACATTTGCAGTGTAAATTTGGCATTTGTGTTCTAAAGTCGCCTCAAATAGTCTGTGACCATCATACACTACGTGATATTCTATGAAATCTGTCAACTCAAATCTGCAGTCTGCCTCTGATTTTTGGCAACTCTAGCGTAAACTTGTCCGGATTATAAATCAGGGCAAAACTTCGGGCACATTTTGTGTATTTTTGTGCATTTCTGCCTTTAACCAAAGCAAATGCTAAACAAATTGCTAAAATTAAAAGAGCACTTTTCATAAAATATTTACTCAGAATTCAGTACAATTCAAATCAAATTTCAATTACCAGAAAATCTATAGAAATCTGCAAGGATAATCTCAAAACATTGATAATATATGCAGCTGACACACAAATGATTCTTTGCAATGTAATATAATACAATTTTGAAAATATGAAAGCACATTGTATTATATAATATAATAGAATTAGTAATGACGCTGAAAATTCAACTTTGCATCTCAGGAATAAATTACATTTTAAAATATATTAAAACAGAAAACTAAATAGTAAAAATATTTTACATTACTGTTTTTAAAAACATTACTGTTTTTACAGATTTTTGGATAAAATAAATGTAGCCTTAATGAACATAAGAGACTTATTTCAAAAACATAAAAAACTTACCAACCCTAAACATTTAAATGGTAATCTAATCTATTATAATATAATTTCATATCATTTTTTAAATGAATAGAAAATGTACAATATTCTCTAACACAATTCCTTTGTGAAAAACATTGACTCTTTTGAAATAAACATTCAGAGCACACAGCCACACCAGCTATTCACTGTCAATTATTTACCAAAAATCACAATTGGCCACAGTTCCTGCAAGTTTCCTGTTTTTTTTCTTCTATATTGCACCACATGAAACTTTCAGTCCTCATCTGCTATTCATACAATAACCCGACACAAGGGCGTGTATTTCGTGCATACTGATTACAGAATATTTTTCCATGTCGACCTGAGACGGCTTACTGAGCAGAAGAAACTAGAGATGAGTTTTAGGAGAAGGGTGTAGTCATGTCCTTCCCTGTCAGCACTTTCTTCTCAGATCGATAAAAGCTGACTGTTCATCCACTGATCAGCCTGCTCTGCATTCAGATGTTGAGCGAGAGGGGGGGAGGGATGAGGGGCCAGGCACTTTAAACTGAGGAGACCTTCTGGCATTCACAAGATCAAACTCGCTCCATGTGAGAATAACTCCCTCTGCCTGCAGTCACAGTGTGTTTTAAAGCAGCAGTGTTAAAGAGAAGTGATCCACGCTTGTTTATGTTTACAACTCCGGGGATTGAATGTAGCGTGAGACGTCCTTGACAGGAAGTCTCGCGACTCTTAGCAGTTGTAGGTGAATCATTTATTGCTATTGTTTTCGAAGCAATGGAGGCTACATGAAAAATTATAGCACACAATATTATATAATAGCATGAAATAAAAAATACAAGACCTCATGCAGGCCTATACAAAAAAAGAAAAAAAAATCGATCTAGATTATTTATTTTTCTTTATATATGTTTCTTTATATATATATATATATATATATGTATGTATATAAATATATATACTTCTGACTTCTTGTGTATTTTAGTTCATGCTATTATATAACATAACATATATATTATATATTATGAGCTGTCATTTCTCCATGTAGTATAAAATACAAAAAAAAAGTTATTGTTACACAGATATGAATTTGGCAGATT